CCGTTCCTAAATGTAAGTCTTTTTAGAGATTGCACTATGGACTACATACGGAGCAAAATGAGTGAATCTACACTCTAAAATATGTCTATTTACATGCGTATTTAGTTTGTAGTGGAATATCTAAAAAGACTTATATTTAGGAACAGGGGGAGTAAGAAATTGGAACAGCAGAACATATAAGCTGCAAGGCAAACAGTGTTATGGTCCCATTCCCTACACAGGCCATATGGGCATTTCTAATTCTTTTCGGTCCTCTTAGTGCATGTTCTAACTTAGTAGGACACTATTCTTCACACGGGTAACCCCTAAGCGTGTAACGAGTAAAATAATCGCTAGAAGAAAACACTGACAGTTAAGCGACTTAGAGCATTGTACGGAACTATGGATAAATGGAATCTGGACAACTCTTCTGCTTCTGGTCGGTGGTCATGGCCATTGCTGTCGAGCAGAGCCTCCCAACAGCACGTACCAACCCACACGTCTACAGCCTAGATTTTGTCCAGCTAGGTTTTGGACCAAAGGATTTTACAAGATAACGTTGGATTAGGTGAAATCCACATGATGAAGCACTAAAGTGATGCACGCATGCATGCTAGTGCCAGAGCACAGAGCTGGAAAGGTGTCCCCTTACTGAGGTTAAAGACAAACCCACATCGGCTCGCAACTGACGTTTTCCAAAGTGGGTGCACTCACGCGCAGACTAGCAATTCCAATAATAGCTCGGATGACGTCCGTTGAGTGCTAGTCCGGTGTATGTGGTCTTCGCAGGTTTCCCTTAATTAACCGCGTCATGTATGGTTTTTGGGTCCAGTTTCCCTTATTAACTGAACCAACTCTCTTCTTCTTAATGCAATGCGGGAGCTCCGTGCCCTCTGATGAGGTTGCGTCAGAAGAAAAAAAAAACAGCTTGGTCAGCGAGAGGTCACCAACTCATTGGCAGGAAAAAAATGTCCAGTCAATCCACAAAACCTGACTATTTTATAGGATGTTGACAAAGTAAACCGTTGGATATAATACACAAGGTAAACCTAAACAAAGAGGATCGACTGGTCAATTTGTGGGCTGAACTTGTAACCATGGTTTTCACTTTCAGTGAGACTTGATGAAATTCACGAATCGATGAAATTCATTGAATTTCAGTAATTTCAGTATACACCAAAATATTTACATTTCGGCCAAAATATTTCAGCCATTTTTGTGGTACGCAGCAATTCACATATTTTTCATTTTTTAAATCAAATATAAATTGAATATAAGTGAATATTCCGGCCCTTTGGCCGAAATGCAAACTGAAATCATCGAATTTTGGTGATTTCGGTTGGTGCTGAAATTTTTCTGAAACTGAAATTAAAAACCATGTTTGTAACAAATTTAGCATAACCAATCAGCCTTGCCATACGATCATTGCTGGTGATCCTAATTTATGTCCTCTTTTATGATCTCCATTGTATTTTCCTTTGTACATTCTACCATTCTGGAAAACCATTTAAGAAAAACAAATGGAACAGTGCCACCACCCACTTATATACAATCAGATTACACCTAGAATTCAGGAGCAGATAACTGTCAAGAAACAATATGTTGTGCGTACTAAAATCAGTAGTGCTTACCTCACTTTAAGTTGAAGTCTCCTCATCCTTATGCGATACTGAGTTATTTTTGTCAGGCGCCGTTTGATCTTGTGCACAAGTAGCTCCGGCCAATGTTCCTACATAATGATAAAAAGGGATGCCATAAGGCTAACTAGACTCACGTTGAGATGAAGTGACAAAGCACAACAACTAGCTAGATATGCATACGAGATGCTTTTTGATGACTTCCATTGCTTTCTCATAATTCCTGGGTAGTTTGACTCTCTCCCATAATTTGTTTGGCAGATGGGCTCTTTCCGCAGTTTTCATGTATAAGTAGAAAATACCTGCATGACCGGTCAAAGTAGAAAGAAGGACATCATCAACAAAAGTTTACGATGATAAGCATAGCTCCGGACGAAAAAGAACAAACAGCACAATGACTAAAGCACACGGACCACGATATTATAATCAGTGGCAAGCTGAAGCATCCAACATTAAAGCCACTCATTCTAGCCTCTGCAGATCACAACGACCACTGCTCGCAAAACAACATTGCTTTGACATCACACAGCCAGCTGATCATGCATGGAAGAGATAACTCCTTCAATCAAGCTTGTAATGTCCAAGGCACAAAATTATTATTTCAAAACTTGTTTTCTGAATCATGCAATGATGATACTCTTTAATGTCCCATAGAACTCAAGCTCTGCTGAATTCAATATCGGTAATTGATACTCCCTCCGTAGAGAAATATAAGGGCGTTTAGATCACCAAAGTAGTGATCTAAACACTCTTATCTTTATTTACAGACGGAGTACCTGTTAAACCTTAAGCATTTGGGAGGGCCCCACGCATTAAATATGAGGTTGTATCCAAATTATCTAGCATTTGAGAAGGGCATTTTGGATATTTCGAAATTTTTAGGGTTTTAGCCTTTTAAGAAAACCTGAGAGTTGATTAAATCCTCATTTTCATATTAAAATGATGCTTACGAGTTGCTCATGATGCACAATCAATTTCCAATAAAATGTGTTGCTCCTGGGCTATTACAATCGCCCCCCCTCGAAGGAATCTCACCTCAAGATTCTAAGGCAAGGAAGAGGGACGGGATTGGGCTACAAATGGAACTAATCTTCTCGTTCATGTTACTCTTTTTTACAAGCTCGATTCATTGCATCATGACGAATTTGGAATTATTTCTTCAAGATCTTCGTCTTCCAAAACTTGAGGCAGCCCAACCCTCTTGTTCATCTGATAGACTTGACAAAAGAAACGGAGTTGAAACCAAGGTCAACAACCCAGTACCTTTTGTCAATCTGATAGGTGTTACATTAAGTTGAACAACATCTCCAAGCAACTATTAATACGGGCTTTAGTTTTGATGTGTGTACTCACAACTATGGATTTTTTTTGAGACCCACAACTATTGATATTAGTACTGAGAACATATGCTAGTAATGTCGGTTCCATTACCTGCTTAAGCATCACCCTTTTAGTTCTTTTGATCTTTTGGGAGACTCCCTTGTTCTATGAATATAACTTTTCTTCCTGACGTCGTCATTTTCGTGCGACTTATCATGCGACATGTTATTGCTTCTAGAAGTGTAGGATACCCTACTTTGTGTTTGTCGCCACCTTAATATTCTTCGCCTCTCGTGGGAAGATTCAAGTAAAAAGAATGGAATTTTCATCTGTTAGTGACATAATAACCCGGAATTGGATTTAATATATAACACACCTCACATATTGAATAACCAATGAACACTTGAAATGTACAATAATTCAAATGAAACGGATGTAATATGAACACAACAAATATTAGATGGTGTAATATGAACACAAAAAATCATATATTGTAAGGTTAAAATGGTTATTGTAATTTTAAAAGACGGGTATAAGTGAATTTTAAATTTATTGCCATTGCATTGACCTGAGCTGGTAATACAACCGCCCTACCCTCTTGGTATTTCAAGAAACCAAGCCTTCTTAGGGCTCATTCTTTTGGACCATCAACCATAAGGCAGAGAATCCCCACCAAAGTTTTTCCGCTTTAGGCTCGAAGATGAATTATTTCATGCCACTGCATCCTTTCCGCCATGGATTCATAAACACAGCTTCCTACTTAGCCGAGCTACATGGGGAGCTGAGCGGGGCTCTTCTAGGGCCGAATTATGAGTCCATTTAGATTTGTGTGAGCAACATCTACACCAACCCGCCACGATGGACTTTGTCATTACATCTTCAAGAAATTTTCTCCCCTAACAATTGGAATATTTGAAGCCAACTATACTATCCATGCTAGGATATGTCAGTCCAACAAGTTCTCAAGGATATAATTGGCATAGATGACTTAATGTATGACCACAGTGACTCGGTAAACCCCTAAATTCCATCCCTAGTTCCATTCTAGTTGGCAGCGCGAGATATCTTTGACGTAGTTGTTGAAATAAAAGTTCGGTCGTCATATGCAAAAACAATTAATCTAATATTAGATTGGACAATCAACTTTTACTCATAAAGTAAGATATGTTAAGGTTCTAGGCTCCATATAAAGTTGTGTCAACAGAGAATTTTGAAAGTGCTAGATAACGCTTATAACGGCGATGATATATACCTCCTTCGACCTACTCTTCTTAGAACAAGACATACTACATTCATAGTACTGATATTTAGCTGGCTTACACCGCCGCATAACTCGGTCAATCACGAATATGTACTTTATAAAAATTACATGCTTACAAATAAAGGCCTCGGTTGTACTTTGTGCTAAATCCACCTAGCTTGCGGGTGTACCAGATGAGTAATAGCCATTGGATTTGCTTTATCTAATTGACATAGAATAAACAGACCTTTTTATGAATCAAAACAATTTGATCACTTTAAGCAACCAACCTAGTGGCTCGCACATTAGGTTAAACCCACCAGCATCAGAACTTCCCTAACGATCCAGCAGCCTTCCCATTCAATTATCTTCAAAGCATGTCGCCGTAAAATTAGACCGCCATGGCTAATTCTTTGCTGCACTTTTAGAAGAAGTGGATTTGGCTATCTCCTGAGTTGCAGCTGGGCTGGGTTTAGGGTTTGCAAAATGGCCATGTAATCATTGTTTGCAATCGGGACGCCTCGGTCGATTTTCGCTATCAAATCTATTTCTAGATCAGACCTAAAGACGGCTTGACACAAGTTCAAGTGCTCGTAAAACAAAACATGGTGTGCATGTCATGCATATTTTGCTGAAACAATCGAGTTCAACAATATATTTCCGTGCTCCATCTCAATGATTTGAAGCAATTTTTTTTCCAAGAATACAAACATAATGCTCAGTAATCGAATACAAACAGACAAAAATAACACTAGTGCCTTCTCCAAAGCTGAGAGATTCAGAAGTATAGGCACTTGTCAAACCCAATCACCCGCACATGGGGCCTACTGTGGCGTGAGTTCCATACTCACCAGGACCGTGTCACTTGTACCAGCGCCTGGAAGCATCGCCTTGGGCACAAGGAATAGGAAGCAGTCATCGGGAAACCCATCATACAGGTTAGTGTTCCTTGTGTGAAACTCTGTAGCCTGGGAGTAGCCCGTCTCAGCCGACGACAATGACAGATTGCACTTGAACTTGGATCCAGTTGTAATGTGGGGCTGGACGCAGCAGACCGCGATGCCAAGGCCGAGGGACTCTGTCTTCATGTAGACAATGAAGAGGTATCCATCCTCACCCACAAGAATGGTTGGTTCTGGAAGATCGCCGTTAACATTGAAGCTGATGAGGATCCCGAACCCCTTGTTGTACGAAACTTTTGTGGAGTCCAGCTTGTCTTTGCTTGAGAAATGCTCCAAGAGCGTTGCGGTTGGTCCGCTGAAGCTGCAGTCGGCTATGGGGCAGAAGCATGGCGCCTGCGGGCAAACTTCCTCATGCTCTTCTTTTTGGTAGTATTTTATCCTTGCAGTGCATCCATTATTGGGGCAAGCAACTTTGAGGGATTCAATCATATTTTCTATCCCGCGGCAGCGACTGTAGACTGTTGTTTCGCAGCAGTAGCAGCACTTGCCTGGGAGCTTGTCCTGGCAGGACGAACAGATGGTATGACGACCCGTAGAGCACTGAGGAAACAGAAAGAACAAATCAGTGCATGCGATATGAATCAGTAAATATGCTAATTGAAAAATGCACCGATCTGTTTTTGTCAGCCATTTGGCTTGTGCGCGCATCTCATCTGATGTTTTTTCTGATTCTTCAGAGGTGTAAACCTTGACTTGCAATTTTGCAACCACCAAATTACAGTCCAAAAACATACAATCTGGTAATCACCATATCCGATTCTAATTAACTAAACAATTTTTGGAAAATCACTTCAGTTTGCGGACAAGATTAGCTACTATAATAATAATCGAATCTAATAATGAAGGAATTTCGAAATATTATAAGACACCCGGATAGTTCTTCAGATCCCTTGATGCATGCTATCGTCTCTGAGGAGCTACTAGGGCTTGAGTTGTACGAACAGAGATCAAATCAAACAGAGGGGATGTTACCTGGGAAATGGGAGGGCGCAGGGGGTCGCAGCAGACGGCGCAGTGGAGGATGTCAAGGTCGTCCATGGTGAAGACGGGGGCCGCAGCCGCGACCTTCCTCCTCTTTCCGTCGCCGCCCTCATCTTTCTCCCTTTCCTGCCGCTTTCCCATCGCTTCCTCCACTCCTTCGATCGGCCGACGGGGAGCCCAGCCGCCGGATCGCAGAAGCAGAGGTTTCTCGTTGCTAGGCCGGAAGCGAGCCGCCTCTCTCGGTCCTGTGATGGTGTCTCCCTGGCGGCCGCCACCCTATTTATTCAGTTCTGTAGGCGGGAGCCAAAAGGAGAAGGAAACACGTTGTAGGCGGGAGCCGAAAGGAGAAGGAAACACGAGATAGATCAGATGCGCGCGTTGTAGGCGGGAGCCGAAAATAGAAAGAAACACGAGCAACGGCCCAAATAGAAGACGCGCACACACTAACAACTTATTTTTGTTGTTCTTTCTGCCGATCATACTTCTTTTAGAAGACAAATGAACAGGCGTCTTGCAGCTTGACTTGTTTATATTCCAGCAACTAAAGAAAATTGTAACTAACGAAACTGAACTTTTTAACGTTAAAGTTTTTGTGTAGCTCAGGCTACGTGGAACCTCTTATTCTCAACCCTTCAGCCTTGCTTTGACACCTTTTTAACAGAAGCAACTATGCCTGACGCAACTGAAAGTTTCAGAAACTTTTGACAGCAACTGTTAACTAACATTGCCAGGCCGATCATCCACAGGGCGACGTCCTCAGTGTCGGAAGTGATCGCGAGCGCGAAGCCCAAGAGGTTGCCTATGACACACACCAGTAGATGCATCAACGAGGATGTTGCCTCTCTTGACATTCTTGTGTATCTAGGGAGGATCGGTGTAGTTGTGCAGGTAATTGAGTTCCACGTCCAGCGCGAACCGCACGTGCTGGCTCCACCGAGCACCCCGCTGCCATGGATGTGCAGCTACTCGCTGAGCGCGCCATTCTCGGTGAATTTGACATCACTCGGTGGCTCGATGCTCACCTCGACGGCAGCGCCCACGTCGCGGGCACGCCCTTCATGGTCGTCCTGTTCGTTATCGGCGGGTACGCCGCCAACTCAATCCATTTCATACCTCGGTCGATGGTCAACTACATGGTCAAGTACAAGGGCTGTCCAAGTACGACGCTGTGGACATGGACGGCGACACAAAGGTGGCGTGCTTCCTGCGTGTCATGATGCATCTCTGCCTCAACAAGGAGCATTGACCACGAGCTCATGCTAGGGGGCCGGGGGAAGGAAATAATGGGCGACGGCGTCGGCGGCAGTTCTCGCTCTGCTCGGTAGGACCGGGCGAAATCCTAATCGGACCGGTAGTGTTTTGGGGACGAATTATATAGACTGGACCGGTCCAATAGACCAGCGGGCTCGGACCGTTCGGTCCGGTCCTTAGCGGTCCACGAGCGAGCCGGTACGTCCACCTTGAGTAGCAACCAAGCTCGACGGGAAGCAAGCCGCCTCTCTCGGGCCTGTGTGTTGGAATTTCGCCCACATGATCGTTCACATGAAATCACGACAAAGGCGCACACAAGAAACTTTGATAGCCAAAGGCACGTGTCGTGCCTCTCTTTCTCTTTATTTCTTTTCTTGTTTTCTGTCTTCTCGGTGTTACAACTTCACGACCAGGCTGTGTATATATAACAGCCAACTAGCCGACCTAAACGCAACTCCAAGACCTACACGGCAAGTGCAACATCTTGGCGGACACTTAATCCTAAACTGATTACTACTAGGACTCTGCCTCAACTAGACACGTTACATTGAACCGACTTGGACTACTACCTCACGTGTACATAGCCAAGTACTAATCCTAACCGTTCAAGACTAGTACTGACTAGTACTACTGCCACACATCACGTGCATGCATAGAAACTCATCTACTCAAGATTACAGCTAACAATCTCTCCCTAATCTTAACACTATGTCTCTGTGCTTCTTCTGATCTTGGCTTGTTGATGATCCTCCTGTTGTCGACTCATCTGCTCGCACCACGACAAGTCAAAGTGCCGGCTAGATTGATCACATCAAGAGATCACAAAAAACACACACGCGAAAAACTTTTGCCAAAGGCACGTGTCGTGCCTTTCTTTTTTCTCTTTATTTCTTTTCTGTTTTTCTCCACGGTGTTACAATAAACTCACGCCAACCCTGTGTATATATATACACACGCAGCTGATAAACGCCATGGCTAGCAGACCTAGCCGAAAACCTAAACACACTTCGACTCGGCCACGTACAACTACGCCTAGATGACACGGACTCAACGTGCAAGCCGACTCCAACTTAAACTACTGGTAGGACTCCTAATCTCAGCCTAAACTAATCACTTGTGTCCTAACCAAACACGACCCAGCCAACTCGTACATGCACACACTAATACAAACCTAACAATCAAGATTATGCTAACACTGTGATGGTGTCTCCCTGGCGGCCACCACCCTATTTATTCAGTCTTCTGTCTGGCGTTGTAAGCGGGAGCCAAAGGAGAAGGAAACACGTTGTAGGCGGGAGCCGAAAGGAGAAGGAAACACGAGATAGATCAGATGCGCGCGTTGTTGGCGGGAGCCGAAAATAGAAAGAAACACGAGCAACGGCCCAAATAGAAGACGCGCACACACTACTACGAAACACCTGCTAAAAGCTTATTTTGTTATCCTAAAAAAAAGCTTATTTTGTTGTTTTTTCTTCCGATCATACTTCTTTTACAGGTTTATTTTTTCAGCCCCAACTCAAACTCACACGAGGTAGAAGAAAATGAACAGGAGACTTGCAGCTTGGCTTATTTATATTCCACTAACTGAAGAAAATCCTAACTGACGAACTGAACTCTTTAACTGCAGCAACTATGCCTAACGAAACTGATTTTTTCAGAAACTTTGACAGCAGCTATTAACTGACATTGCCGGGTCATCCACAGGGCGTCGTCCTCAGCCTCGGTAGTGATCGCCACTCGTCCTCATCAAGGAGGATGTTGCTGTTCTTGAGATTCTTGTGTATCCAGGGAGGGTCGGTGTGGTTGTGTAGGTAGTTGAGCCCGCCTTCCACGTCCAACGCGAACTGCACGTGCTGGCTCCACCAAGCACACCGCCGCCGTGGATGTGCAGCTACTCGCTGAGCGCGCCGTTCTCAGCGAATTCGACATCACTCGATGGCTCGATGCTCACCTCGACTGCAGCGCCCACGTCGCCGGGCACGTCCTTCACGATCATCTTGTTCGTTATGGGCGGGTACACCGCCAACTCAATCCATTTCATGCCGCGGTCGATGGTAAAGTACATTGGCTCCAAATACGATGCCGTGGACATGGACGACGACACGAAGGTGTCGTGCTTCCTGCGTGTCA